CACACATGAATTTGAATTGGTAGGTGCACTGGGACATGACGTTATCGTTCACATGGTGTATGGGTTTGGGAGAAAATATGTGGTTGATAGTTTGTATTGATCAAATCCTAGCTGCATAGTAAGTTCTTCTAACAGGAGGATTAGGTCACGGTTTAAGGATTTCACTATGAGAGAGTCACCTTTATATGGAAGACTGATCAAGACATCTTTCTTTGGAACAAAGTGAAGATTTGGTTCTGGCAGCTTGATAATTTTGTGCTGCCTAATAAATTTTGGATCATTCCTGTTGGACGTATTTAGTGTCGATTCGATAATCAATTTCTTCCTCCATCTTGTTATGTTAATTTTTAGAATTTTCATTCTATCACAAGTTATTGTATGATTGTGTGTAATCACATTCATTGCTTTGGCTTAACTCTTTTCTAGACTCTTTATCTTACTAAGATTTATCAATTTTGATCTAGCTAGGCTTTTGTGCTTGGTTAGCTTAATTGATCGTTGTCGACTACTTTCACTAGTATATTCGACCTCACAATCATTACAAGAGATTTAGTAAACTATGTTATTCTGCCTAGTTAGATGAATAGGATCGTTTAACCTATTAAGCTTATTTCTAAATGATTTTTTAGATTTAAATATCACTCTCATGTCAGTTGTCTTATTTAGAATCCTATGTAGTGTTTCCGAGGTGCCTTCTTTGTATGGTAACACTGTAGAAGTCTTGAATTCTCTCTTTACAGTATTACGACTATTATTATTAACATCATTACTACGACTATTACTATTAACACCTGTGTTAGTCATATGAGTTATACTTTCAAACAATTTCAGAAGGAGAGTATCTTTACACATTGAATCAACACTAAATATATGTAGTAAGAGAAATGATTCTGAACCTGTTCCAAATAGAAAATAGAAAATTCTACTATTCTTCACATTACAAAGAAGGAGAGAGAATTATGACTATATAAACTCTATCTTGAAGTTGTTGAGTTAGTTACTTGATATGAATATGAATAATAAATTGTATCTAAAAGGTAATCCAGTAAATGATACTGTTACATTGAATTTTAATGAGATAAGCTTTTCTATATTCTGAAATGTAACTGATATTTTGCATCCACTTGTCTGAGTTTATATTTCTAAATTGTTGTTTGTTTGTTTTTTTTTGCTTAAAGATGAGACTGATTTTCTAGGAATTAAACTTTGGTTGATGTGAATAGATTTTCGTTTATAACTTATTGGTATCTTTGTGATTTCATTTTCTATTCATGAGCCTATAAATCTCCATATAAACATTTTTTTAATGTAAAAAAAGCTGATGAAATTTAAGAAAGTTCTCCAGGAATTATATATTTCGACAAAACAATAAGAAGACGTAAATTGTCTGAACCGTGTAATTTGCGCAACACATTTCGAACTATCTGATCATACACGTACTTGTCATAGGTATTTATATAAAAACTCATGAAGATAAGGGCTGAGAAAATAGAAAGGGGTCAGGTAGGAAGGTTGACTTAAAGGCCGAATAACAATGAAAATCAATAGGGCGAAAAAATAATAGTACATCGAACTTGGTTTTTCAATAGTTGAATTTACCAAGGAAGGTTTAATGTGACAACAAATTGTTTATGAATACATAAAGGTGGTTTCAACTTCCTAATAGCTAAGGCTTCAACAAGGCTTCAGAAGCAAATCAAATCACCTGAACCTATAAATGTTGGTAGCAAACGTCCAAGCTCTTCGATCGCTAAACATATCGTTGAGACAGGTCACAAGATTAATGTGGCTACTTCCTTTACACCTATTTACAAAACATGTTGGGGAGGGATCCTGAAATTTGTTGAAGCCTTAGCTATTAGGAAGTTTAAACCACCTTTATGTGTTCATAAACAATTTGTTGTCACATTAAATCTTCCTTGGTGAATTCAACTATTGAAAAACCAAGTTCGACGTACTATTATTTTTCCGCTATACTGATTTTCATTGTTATTCGGCCTTTAAGTCAGCCTTCCTATCGGACCTCTTTTTATTTTCTCAGCCCTTATCTTCATGAGTTTTTATATAAATACCTATGACAAGTACGTGTGTGATCAGATAGTTCGAAATGTGTTACGCAAATACATTACACGGTTCAGACAATTTACGTCTTCTTATTGTTTTGTCGAAGTTTATCAAGGGAACTAATTGTTTTAAATTTTATATTTCCCTTTATTATACAATGCATTATTTTCAAAGTTTTCTCATGTACTCTCAGCATTTGACTGTAATGTTGAAATGAAATGAAACCATGATTTCATATCATATCAGTGCCAAGAGAATATTTAACATAAACTGTAGAACGTTAGAAACGTAATCGTCTTGCATGTGTAGACCTTTTACCCAATGTTAACGGGATATATTTTTTTACCATTAATCTTACTAATCATCTTATTGATGGATCGTGGCTAGCAGTGGAATCGAGGATGCGCATTTCGTCCTGGATGTGCCTGCTTCCCAGTGACTGACGTTGTTCCCACCGGGATTCGTTTCAAACGCCAGAGCGTTACCCACTACACCACCGAGCCACGATAGCCAGTTCTTGTGCGACGGGTACAGTTTTTAGTATAAGGGCTTTTATATGATATCGTCGTTGCTTGGACCGAATTGGTCTATCTCTGTTCGCATATGGGCTCCTGTGAGGATGCCTAAATATCTAGCTGAAGAGTCCCAAATAGGACGAAATGCGCATCCTGTATTTCACTGCTAGCCACGATCCATCATTAACAAAGTTAGATTGCTGGCAATATTGAGGCATCCACACAGGAGCCCACATGCTAATAGAGACCGATCAATTCGGTCCAATCAACGACGGTATCGTATAAAACCTCTAATACTAATCTCACTAATCGTTTGTTATTCCAAAGTTAGTATACAACAGAAAACATTTTCATTTCCCTGAGGTTCTGGTGCAACACAACTTTTATTTAATGGCACTGGAAAGCATACATCATTATTATTTCATCACTTGACATTTATGGTAATAATGTACGACCATAGTAAACCTAGGAGCAGAGGAGAATATTTGTAGCTCATGTGGATGGTGTTGGTTGTATTCAGTTCTCTGACCTGGGTCGTCTAATCGTGGAGCTTTCATAGTTTTTCTAGACGACATCATCAGAAATCAATAGATGCATCAACCTACCGTACACAAAGAATATATCAGAAATCATGACTAGATTACTGAGACCACTTAGAATTGCTGCAGATCATAAACCAACAAATTCCCTGCAACAACTAAAGGAGACAGACCGAATATCATTTACAAAATCAACTGCAATGACTGTAGTCAAGACTAAATTGGACAAAGTGGTCGCCCTCTTCGCCTTCATCGACATGAACTCTAACTGGCTATTAAACGTCACGACATTTCATCACTCATCACTTAATACACGTGGATGACAACTATGGAGATGAATTTAATTTCGACAATGTAGAAATTTTGTATGGAGAGGGGAAAGACAAAGAATATCAAAGAATTCCTAGAAGCTTGTCATTCAGATGAGTCGGTCAGTCAGTCAGTCAGTCAGTCAGTCAGTCAGTCAGTCAGTCAGTCAGTCAGTCAGTCAGCAATCAATAGATGTATCGGCAGACATAGACCGAATCTATCAAGCAATGAGAAAAATGGTGAAGGACAGAAGAAAGGTGAGAGGTGAGACAGAGGGACAGGCAACAGGAAAATCGAATCTATACAATCTGTCAATGACACAACAATGAATCACAAAGTAGTTTGTGAGGGTAAGCTACGAAATTACTGATGGAGAGGTATTGACAACTCACTTCACAGTGAGGTTAGTGCTGATGATGTTGTGTAGAAAGATGATGGAAGCTTGATGATTAGACAACCCAGATCAGAGAACATAGTACGACTGAAATCTGGAATCACTAGACAGCTGTTTTGTCCCAGTCCGGGACTCCTCAGCATTGTGCACTCACAGCCTCACCATTGCTGAGGAGTCCCATATTAGGAGGGAACAGCTGTCCAGTGCTCCCAGGTTTCCACTATTCCTTCAACTGATGTCAGTCTCTGATGAATATTAACCGGAAGTCAATAAATCCCCTCAAACCTAAAAAGTGAATTAGTCTAGTGCTTATTGGTGACAAACCTTGAGAAAGTGATTCACAAATGTTCCAGTAAGAAGTCGTAACCATTGCGACCAACCAAGTCGGACATGAGAGCAGTTACTCAACGACGAGATTTGATGGAAGTCGCACTATATCTTGACCTGACAGACATAGGAAAATGTGAACCACTGAATTCTGACTCAGTGGCTCAAAGGTAACATGGTAGCCATAGTCCTTGAAGGTGCTGGGTTCGACCTCTCATGGGATGGGTGGTGAGTGCGCATCACTGAGAAGTCCTATACGAGGATGAAACAGTTTTCAAGTATTCATACGTTCCTATTGTTCCTCCAACTGATGTCAACCCATTATGAATATTAGCCTGAAGTCAATTATTATATATTATTATATTATTTGTCCCTTGGGTTCTTAGTAGAACATAGGGATTCAGTAGCACGTCTCCATTCCACTCTCTTGTCTGTAAACTTTTGAACCTGGCTCCACAACTGCCCAAAACCTTTCATTTATTCCTCATACAATCTCCTTCATATCACCCTTAGGTGGTATGCCCAACTCGTTGTTTTCCATCTAGGTTCCACTTGAGGACCTGACGCATGTTGTTCACGAATGATCTTCTCAGTGTATACCCAATCCATCTCCACTTTCGTCTACAGCATATTTGTTGGGTGATAGGTTGTTACCAACAAACCAGAGGTGCTTACTGCTTATTCTTTCTGGCCATCTGAGCTTCAGCAATGAGAGTAGGCAGTCAGTAACCTCCCATGAACATTAAAGTTGAATTAAGAATATCATTATGAGTATATTTCTTTTTCATAAATCAACATGAAGCATATTGGTTAATATATTTGTTTGAACGAAATTTTATCATATTTCTTTAGATACAAAAGTCGAGTAAGTTCAATCGTATAAAATTCAGATAACAATCACAACAAACATTTCATTGTTTAGGTCCTACACCATCAGATAGTGGTTTACAAGGCATAGCTAGTGCAATACGCCGAATGACAACTAATTTTCTAGAGAAACCTGATTTCTCCCAACAACAATCACAATCTAGAAATTCCGTTACATCAACAGATCCACCTGTGAATAATTTATTACGTCGACCGTCAACATTATTTAATCGTGAAGCTGATGTAAGCAATACAACCAGTACTCGTATCTCATTCAGTGATCCAAATAAATCACCGGGAATATTAGGTAAAGTTGAGAATTTTTTCAAAAGTACTAGTCCCAAAAGTCCATCTATTGCCATAGAAGAGGGTAAAATTGAATCTGAATATACGGATGTAAAAACAGGTCACAGTAACCTGCAAACATCTTCGATAACAGTTCCAAAAATAAGTATATCACATCAGAATACAGATCCGTCAGAAGATGCAGATTCCAAAACAAAAATGGAAAACACAAACCAAAAACAACAGGCATCATATAAGCAACAACCTCAGGCAAATGAAGTAATCAAGACAGAAACACTGAACAGAGAAAATAAAGCAGAAACTACAACACAAAGCCAACACATGCAATACATACCAAAAATTGAAACGAAAATTACAAACCTAAAAAACGATGAAAGCGACACAAAGGCGAACAAACTGAATCCAAAAACAAAAACAGAAACCCACAAAAGCGACATCCCAGGTTCCAAAGACACTTCCTCCAGTAAAGAGGTGACATCGGCGAAGACGACGGAGGTGACAGGCAGAACTCCAACGACTGTGACCAACACAGGGACGACTGCTGCTGCTGCCACTCCTTCTGCCTCTGCTGGTGCTGGCACTGGTGTCACCGCTTCCGATGCCGTTGGTGGTGTTGGTGCTGGCAATGCCGATGCTCGAGATAGTAAGACTGTAACGAAGGATGGTGGAGTGGTGAAGGCTGTGAACACCCCGATTGAGAAGAAGTCAGATTCGAAGTCTGCTCCACCGAGTGAAGCGACGACATCGGCGAAGACGACGGAGGTGACAGGCAGAACTCCAACGACTGTGACCAACACAGGGACGACTGCTGCTGCTGCCACTCCTTCTGCCTCTGCTGGTGCTGGCACTGGTGTCACCGCTTCCGATGCCGTTGGTGGTGTTGGTGCTGGCAATGCCGATGCTCGAGATAGTAAGACTGTAACGAAGGATGGTGGAGTGGTGAAGGCTGTGAACACCCCGATTGAGAAGAAGTCAGATTCGAAGTCTACTCCACCGAGTGAAGCGACGACATCGGCGAAGACGACGGAGGTGACAGGCAGAACTCCAACGACTGTGACCAACACAGGGACGACTGCTGCTGCTGCCACTCCTTCTGCCTCTGCTGGTGCTGGCACTGGTGTCACCGCTTCCGATGCCGTTGGTGGTGTTGGTGCTGGCAATGCCGATGCTCGAGATAGTAAGACTGTAACGAAGGATGGTGGAGTGGTGAAGGCTGTGAACACCCCGATTGAGAAGAAGTCAGATTCGAAGTCTACTCCACCGAGTGAAGCGACGACATCGGCGAAGACGACGGAGGTGACAGGCAGAACTCCAACGACTGTGACCAACACAGGGACGACTGCTGCTGCTGCCACTCCTTCTGCCTCTGCTGGTGCTGGCACTGGTGTCACCGCTTCCGATGCCGTTGGTGGTGTTGGTGCTGGCAATGCCGATGCTCGAGATAGTAAGACTGTAACGAAGGATGGTGGAGTGGTGAAGGCTGTGAACACCCCGATTGAGAAGAAGTCAGATTCGAAGTCTACTCCACCGAGTGAAGCGACGACATCGGCGAAGACGACGGAGGTGACAGGCAGAACTCCAACGACTGTGACCAACACAGGGACGACTGCTGCTGCTGCCACTCCTTCTGCCTCTGCTGGTGCTGGCACTGGTGTCACCGCTTCCGATGCCGTTGGTGGTGTTGGTGCTGGCAATGCCGATGCTCGAGATAGTAAGACTGTAACGAAGGATGGTGGAGTGGTGAAGGCTGTGAACACCCCGATTGAGAAGAAGTCAGATTCGAAGTCTACTCCACCGAGTGAAGCGACGACATCGGCGAAGACGACGGAGGTGACAGGCAGAACTCCAACGACTGTGACCAACACAGGGACGACTGCTGCTGCTGCCACTCCTTCTGCCTCTGCTGGTGCTGGCACTGGTGTCACCGCTTCCGATGCCGTTGGTGGTGTTGGTGCTGGCAATGCCGATGCTCGAGATAGTAAGACTGTAACGAAGGATGGTGGAGTGGTGAAGGCTGTGAACACCCCGATTGAGAAGAAGTCAGATTCGAAGTCTGCTCCACCGAGTGAAGCGACGACATCGGCGAAGACGACGGAGGTGACAGGCAGAACTCCAACGACTGTGACCAACACAGGGACGACTGCTGCTGCTGCCACTCCTTCTGCCTCTGCTGGTGCTGGCACTGGTGTCACCGCTTCCGATGCCGTTGGTGGTGTTGGTGCTGGCAATGCCGATGCTCGAGATAGTAAGACTGTAACGAAGGATGGTGGAGTGGTGAAGGCTGTGAACACCCCGATTGAGAAGAAGTCAGATTCGAAGTCTGCTCCACCGAGTGAAGCGACGACATCGGCGAAGACGACGGAGGTGACAGGCAGAACTCCAACGACTGTGACCAACACAGGGACGACCCCTCTCTGCTGCTGCTGCTGCCACTCCTTCTGCCTCTGCTGGTGCTGGCACTGGTGTCACCGCTTCCGATGCCGTTGGTGGTGTTGGTGCTGGCAATGCCGATGCTCGAGATAGTAAGACTGTAACGAAGGATGGTGGAGTGGTGAAGGCTGTGAACACCCCGATTGAGAAGAAGTCAGATTCGAAGTCTACTCCACCGAGTGAAGCGACGACATCGGCGAAGACGACGGAGGTGACAGGCAGAACTCCAACGACTGTGACCAACACAGGGACGACTGCTGCTGCTGCCACTCCTTCTGCCTCTGCTGGTGCTGGCACTGGTGTCACCGCTTCCGATGCCGTTGGTGGTGTTGGTGCTGGCAATGCCGATGCTCGAGATAGTAAGACTGTAACGAAGGATGGTGGAGTGGTGAAGGCTGTGAACACCCCGATTGAGAAGAAGTCAGATTCGAAGTCTACTCCACCGAGTGAAGCGACGACATCGGCGAAGACGACGGAGGTGACAGGCAGAACTCCAACGACTGTGACCAACACAGGGACGACTGCTGCTGCTGCCACTCCTTCTGCCTCTGCTGGTGCTGGCACTGGTGTCACCGCTTCCGATGCCGTTGGTGGTGTTGGTGCTGGCAATGCCGATGCTCGAGATAGTAAGACTGTAACGAAGGATGGTGGAGTGGTGAAGGCTGTGAACACCCCGATTGAGAAGAAGTCAGATTCGAAGTCTACTCCACCGAGTGAAGCGACGACATCGGCGAAGACGACGGAGGTGACAGGCAGAACTCCAACGACTGTGACCAACACAGGGACGACTGCTGCTGCTGCCACTCCTTCTGCCTCTGCTGGTGCTGGCACTGGTGTCACCGCTTCCGATGCCGTTGGTGGTGTTGGTGCTGGCAATGCCGATGCTCGAGATAGTAAGACTGTAACGAAGGATGGTGGAGTGGTGAAGGCTGTGAACACCCCGATTGAGAAGAAGTCAGATTCGAAGTCTACTCCACCGAGTGAAGCAACGACATCGGCCGACACGTTGGAGGTGGTGAACACAGTGTCGACTGCTTTTGCTGCCTCTCTCCCTTCCTCTTTGGCTGGTGTTGCTGTTGGTGGTGCTTTGAATGGGGATGCTGGACATTGTATGTCCGTTTCGAAGGATGGTCGATTGATGAATTTTGGCGAGTTTTCTTGTGTGTTTGAAAAATTTTACTTGGAAATTGATCGACTGCATCGTGAGTTATCGAAGTATTCCACTGCTTCTCAGGTTACTTTCAACTCGGTTTCTAGTCAAACTATTGGTTGTTGTATATCGAACTGTTCTACTCAAACTTTGATGGAGGATATTGTACCGTCATCTTCCACATGTAATTCAAAAGAGGATAGTCGCAATTTAGAGTTATATAGTAATGATTTTCAGCTTCATATGGAATCTTTGATATTATACAGTATTAAATTTGGTGTTGATTTACCTAAAAATATTTATGTTAAGAATATATTACATAGTAAAGGAGAAGATTTATATGTCAAACCTTCATGTAGTAAATATTTAAATTCTGAGCTATCATATATTAACAATGATACAAAGTTTCCATTGAATGACAAGCTTCACTATTCTTCAAATCATTCTAATGATTTTGCTTCAACATTATTCAATGTTTTACAAAAAGAATATCAAAAAAATTTTAATAAATTCACTTCTTCAAATCTAGTTGAATTGAATACTACCACTTTGAGTCAATTCATTTTACAAACTTATAATATATGGATATATGATCCAAATATAAATCGTAGTAATAATAATATGGCATATTATAATATAGAGAGAAGTGATAGTAATAATCATCTATGTGTTATTACAACACCATTATATTGTAAGATAAATATAAGACAATTTTGTAAAAATTTATTACACTGTTTATTATTCACCTTTTATAGTATAAAAAGTCTACAGCAAGGAAATATGTACGTATTGTACCGTATATAGAGAAATCAATTAATGCTTATTTACAAAGTATTTATAATAATAATAATAGTAATACTTTAGTTGTAGATGAATTCAATACATTATGTAATAATAAACTATGTGAAAATCATAATTGGTTTAATGAAATTATTCGACAAGGTTTTATATTATTACAACCATTTTGTATTGAATGGATTTTTTCTAGTATAGACTTAATTAATTTATTTAATCATACACTACAAAAGATGAAATATCGTTTAACTATAATGTGTACAAATAATACATTTAATAATAATAATAGTAATAATATGAATATGAATAAAGATTGTATCTTTGAAATAATTCCTTCCTCAGTAATTAATTCATTGTGTCGAACAAGTGAATTACACAATATTATATACTTGAGAATATTACATACAAGTATGCTAATAATACCATATAATTTTTCATTAATTATAAATATTTATAATTGTTTTGTAAATGCTATAAATTATCTTTTATCATTATCTATTAAAACAATACTTAAAATTACTTCAATATATTCTAGTATTATTGAACCTATAACTAATCTTAATTATATAATAAGTCAATTATTACAATTATTTATTCAATTAAAGTATCGTTTATGGGAGATAATTATACAACCAATAATAAATAATAAACAGGCTATAATAATAATAGATTATTTAATTAAATGTATAAATTCGCAGATTATAACACGTTTATATAGAATATCTTCAAGTGTAAATGATAACCAGAATAAAATTTACTTTTATATATTATTATTCAGAATATTATTTTCAATGAAATTTGAATTATACTGTTTAACACATGAAAAAGTAATGAATAATAATAATAATAATTTATCTACTAATAAATATGGTTATATTTATTGTGTACTAATGAATAATTCAAAGAATTGTTCAATTACAGGTCCATTAAAAGATGATTATATTCTATATGATAATCATCATAATTTACTTCTCTTTTATATTATATCTATGAAATGTGTTATTCTGAATGGTTGATTACAGGATTATGGCCATATGATAAAGTGAAAATATTTGATCAGTATAATTATAATCATCATCATCATCATCATCATGACGATGACCAGCAGGAACATCAGCAATCAAAATCACAACATATCTCTATACAACAATTATGGTTAATAGCTATAAAACAAAAAAATTATTTAATAAAATTATTATTTCATAATAATAATAATAATAATAATAATAATAATGATAAAGAGTTAATTAAACATATTAAAAATGGTTTACAACAAATAGTTAATGAGAATACTTCAATAAATATCAATTTATGGTTACCAAAGAAATTTAATTCTACACATTTGTATGATTCAATCTTTTGGTCTCAAGTTTATTTAACTGCTATTATACAATGGTATGAAGAGAATTATATATTATTAGGAAATTATAATAATATTATCAATAAATTATCAAGTATATTAAATATTACTTCATTGAAGACAATTGTAATAACTGTTGTACTACTACTACTACTACTAGTAGTAGTAGTGGTGGTGGTGCTGATCATAAAAATTCTCCTCTTTGGTTCCTTAAAAAATTGGAAGAAATTCGATGTACATGGTCATCATCATATTATATAAATTATAATCTAATGTATATTTGGTGTCTAATTTCAAATGATATATATGATTGTAATTCTACTAAAGATAATAATAATAATAATAGTAATAATAATAATAATAAAGCCAGTAATAACTCAAATCTTTATCATCCATCATTAATATTTGATAAGAATTTAACTATATTGGATAATGATTTAGTAATACAATTAAAATTAGCCTATTTTATTGAACCATCAATTCTATTCACTACTATCTCGCATAAAACTATCTCAGAATATATGATGAAGTATTATTATGAATTAATATCAACTAGAAATACTTCATACATTGAGGTGATTGATTATCTCTTCAGAGGTGTTAATGGTTTACCTATATATATATATATACCTATCACTTGTTCAGCTATTTGCGGGGGGGGGGGAACACTCTGTGTTATGTTTTTAATGATTGTATCGACTAATACTAATAGACATGCGTATATGTTGGCTTATATTTTCTAAGGGATAATCATCTGGGTATCATTTGGTGTCTATACATTTTATTCTTTTGATTGACTAGGGAATACGTATAATGATTGAATTGCGTTTTGTTTTTTTTCGCTTCTCAGTGTTCTAACCTACTAACGTTTTGTCTTATAAATACATCTTTAATTTGATAGTGAGTATAATTTAATGAGTGCACAAATATTTTCATCATTACATTAACTAACACCTTTTCTTTTCGACATTCATATTTATAAATATCTTCATGGTGTAGTGAATAACATCTTGATGTTTGAAGCAATGGGTATAAAGTTCCAGTTTTAATGGGAACAATATCACTATGCACTAAGGTGCAGGTATATCCAGGTGACGAGTCCCGAATACGACGAAACGCGCGTACTACATTCTTCTGCTAGCCACAACCAAGCAAATTCATATTTGTAGTCGCAATAAAAATATATTTCAACTTATTATTCATCGTAGACTGATATCAGTTGCAGGAACAAAGGAAACCTGGGAGCACTGGACAACTGTTTCATCCTCGTATGCGAATCCTCAACAGTGCGCACCCACGCCCCCCCTTCAGGGATCGAACCCGCGACCTTCAAGTTCTATGGAGGATTGGATTCTGACCCAGTGGCTCAATGGTAACGTGCTGGCCATGAAACCTGAAGGTCGCGGGTTCCATTCCTGGCGGGGTCATGGGTGCTCACTGCTGAGGAGTCTCATACTAGGAAGAAACAGCTGGCTGTCCAGTGCTCCCAAGTTTCCTTTGTTCCTCCAATCGATGTCAGTCTACCATTATTAACAACTTGAAATATTTCCAAATCCCCACAACTCCCTCAATAATCAGTGATTTAATAAGAAAAAAGGTCAACAAAATTTATTTATGGAATTACAATAAGTAAACAAATAAATAATCTTCGAAAGATTCTGACCAAGGTAAGATTATAGATCAGACTTTACCAAAGAATTGCTGAGGCTTTTCCGTTGTTCAGGTGGTGAATTTCCACTCCTTTCGGAATGTTGGATTTGATTTAAAGCAGAGTTGACCCGATACTGAAGAATCGAGTTGTTAGTCCCTTGCGATTCTCTTCTAAACAAGTAAGCGGGATAGTGTTCAGACATATGTTTGGATAGAATACACTTTGTAAAGCCTACGTAACCAGCTACACAAGAGCAAGTCCAATTGGTATAACCATACCGAGATGGCCTGAATTCATTTCATCTCAAAATCAATGTCGAACCACACACATAAGTGTATCAGTTCAACTTACCACAGTTTACAGTAATATAAAAAGAACATAGTCGGTAGAAAAAGACTGATATCAAAGTAGACAAAGGCGTATACTACAAGAACGAATTTAGAAAATCAAAGTAAGTAAAAGCACTAAAGCTTTAGAAGACATCAAGGAGTGAATACAGTTACGTCATTGTGATCAATTATCAGCCATTTCATAATCAGCAGTCCTCAACCACTGATTTGTATTGTCTCGAGGACACCAACTAGGCAGTCTACATTTGCCTTCATGGCTCAGATTAACAGTCAGGCATTTCATGGACTGGTACCACTCTTCCAACCTAATCCAACTTCTAACATTGCGCTTAGCGATAAGTGGTGACTACGCATACGTAGTATATATCCAAGCTACCTTAGTTGATGCAAGTTCAAAATCTCACCCACTGACTTACCTTCCTTGACCAAGGTGGTAGTTTATCCTTTACCTATGCTCAAATCACTTGTTGTCTGGTCAGAAAAGAAAGTCTTCTTCAGTGCTTTACACAATCGACTCTTGGGTTATCTCCGCCTCTGTAAAATTCCTTTCAATCCAATTTTCATAAGTAGTGTCTTTTTAAGTACCATAGGGGTTCCTTCTTGATAAGCACAATCTCTAATTTTACCTTGGTCATAATCTTCCTAAGATTATTTATTTATCGTAATCCTATAAACAAATTTTGATTACTGGTGGATAGTGGCTAGCAGTGGAATCAGATGCACATCTCGTCCTATTTGGGACTCGTTGGCTGGATATACCTGCCTCTCAGTGAGTAATGTTGTCCCCACCGGGATTCGGACTAGGGGCGATCGCTTTAAACACCAGAACGTTATTCACTACACCACCGAACCACGATAGCCACTTCTTGTGCGATGAATATAGTTTTTAGTGTAATACAAGGATTTATACTAAGAATTTTTTTCATTATCCTGCATAAACCCATTACCTAGTGATGCATATATGCCTCTATTTCAGTTATAAATATGAATATACAACTTCTGAATATTATTCGTCGGAAGGAAAGTTTTCCTTCACTGAATCATCTTTTGTTGATTTTTATTGACCTAATAAGACTATATAACTCAAAAACTTTGAATCGATAAAACTATTATTACTATGATTATTTTTCCCTTGGGGTCCTAGTGGAACATACGGCTTCACTAGCATGTCTCCATTCCACTCTCTTCTCGTCAGTCTTTTGAACCTGGCTCCACGACTACCCACAAGCTTTCATTTCTTCCTCACACCATCTCCTCCATGTCACCCTCAGCTGTGACGCCTAACTCGTTGTTTCCCTTCTGGATTCTACTCAGTGGCCTGGTCTGTCGCGTGATGTCCCCCAATCGACCTTCTCAGTGTATGCCCAATCCATCTCCACTTTCTCCACAGCATATTTGTTGGGCGATAGGTTCTTGCTTCGTTGGTTCGTTCCCAGAGTTCTTTGTTGCTTATTCTTATTATCTGATCAACTGATCCTCAGTACCAAGTGAGCGTAGGTGGCAGCTATTGATGATGCATGTCTGTAGTTTGTTGGAAATGCTTTCCGTTACACACAAAGTTTCTGAACCATATAGCAGCACTGACTTGACTGAATTGATGCTGAAAATCCGGATGTTGTTGACGCTTTATGCTGATTGCAGTGGAGTAGATCTCCACTGTTACTTCAGATTAATGAAACCCTGTCTTGCTTTTCCGATCCCAGTCTTGACATCCTCGTCTGTGTCTGTGTTGCCTGTAGTTGAAACGATGCTGCCCAGTCGGGTAGGTGAAAGAGGCTACTTCCTTTAAGTTTTCCCGTTGATGGTGATTGGTGCTTGTTGTTGATGCTGTTGTTGTTTGGGTGTCTTCATCACCTCTATCTTCTCTACATTCACCTGAAGGAAGTCCCGTCTTCGCTGCCTCACCTCTTGTGTCAACTTGTTAGTTTTCGCCTATTGATCTTCGAGTTTGTGCAATAAGACATTAGACATAAGTCGTCATTGGCGAAATTCAAATCTCCTAGGGTGTTTCATCTGTCCAGTCAGTGTATGCTCATCTTCTCGCTACTCACTGTTTGCTGCATGATCGAGTCTACCACAATCAGGTGATAGTAGGCAACCTTGTCTTACTCCTGTCTTCACTTCAAAGGTGTTACTGAGCTTTCTATTGTGGATCACTTGGGATGGGGTGTTGTCATAAAGCTATACTAACTATACTAACTCAAAATGAAATGAAGTTCTAAAAATCTACTAATTATGTGAGATCACCAATTTCTTTTGACTCATTATTTTCACTCATATATCTACTCATTGACCTAACTAATTATCACTGGCCTCGGTTCTTAGTTTACTCCTTTCTGAATGCTTATTTTGTTCACTTGGTGGTCACTGGTTAACTGACACATCATAATTTAACCCTGTTTTCCTTTTCTTCAATAAAATGGTTTCACAATAAATATTTGTTAAATGAGTTTACAGTTTGTTTCGTATTATCTTATCTTCCACTACTTTTCTTTTTTTGTGTGTGTGTGTGTTATTTTAGACTACTGATGAACAGAAAGTTATTGAAAGTCTACGTTGTCAAGTTGAAAGTTTAAAACAAGAAGTTAAAAGGTAATCATTTTAAGTATAATAATATGCTCCAACATTTTTTTTCTTACCATTCTCTTACCATATTTTAACTGATCCCAGATATCTTTACAGCATTGATCGCCTTTGGTGGAATTACTGGGTGAGCAAACTTGAAGTGAGGCGAAGGGTAGTAGGCAAGAGAGGCAAGTCGGTTGATGATGTTGTGAACCTTGGTCGATTGAGATGGCTTGGACATGTACTGCGCATGCCAAGCCACCGCCGACCTCAACGAAGCTAGGTTCAAAGAGGGTTCAGAGTGGTCTTACAAAGGTGTGGCACCAGTTGATGAAGTCTCTGACTGTTGATCTGAGGCGTGTAAGGAGGTATTGACTACCTAGCTAGATTCCCCGAGACGATATGAATCAGTGGTTGAGGACCCTTAGTGAAATGACTGAAGATCAGTCACAGTTGCACAGATGTGTATTCACTCTTGACATCTTCTAAGGCTCCAAAATTTGTATTGACCTTCACTGTTTATTCTCTCACACTACTATGTCCACTTTGATATCACTGTTTGTCTATCCAGTTGTTTTTTGTATACTAGTGTGAAGTGTGGCTACTTGAACCGATGTACTTATCTATGAGGTTATATGGTGATTGTGTCTGTGTGTCTGACTGCTATAAAACCTTCATACAGAGGACGTTTAGTGGTTTCGACATTTTTTAGCTACATCTCTTTTCGAAACGTCACAGTATGATACATAACCATCATTTGAACGGATATTTATGCATTGGTTTTTCAGGAGAGAACAGAATACACATATAGACTTTTTAAAACCAGGATAGTATACAGTCTCCTCCTGTGGCGCAACCTACTCGGATGCCTTCACCCAGGTGGACGTCAAGTGACACAATTCTTGATATCAGTTAATACAGATTGACTAATTGGTTACTGGAGAGTGGTCGCTTTCATGTTATCTGGTCGTAATTGCGGACCGAGTTCTATGCATCGTTTTAGTATGACTACCAATTTATTTGACTGATTATTGTAGTACATTTTCGACTAATGTAACGTAGTTGAAGGCAATTGTTAGGAAGCCTTGCGTCATTTAGGTCCCGTGTTTTTTTGGCATTCATCAAAAGGTCATGTCTTGCATCAAGTATGAATTCATTCCAGTTCCTGGGCTTTCTGCCGATTACCTTCAGCATATTTGAAATGTTGTGAGAGATTTGTAGCTCAGCATAAGGGTGTTAGTGGTCCAATGTTCTCTGAGCTTTGGTATTTTTTTCGTAGATAATTCATCATTAGGCTCGGTGATATCTTTAAAACTAACTTGATAAAGAAGTGAGGAATATTCAAATGTTACACTACCTAAACATTCGTGCAATATTCGAACACACTTTACTTCTTTATTAAGTTAGTGCTGACGATGTCACCAAACCTAGAAAATGAATTATCTGAAGCAAAATGGTAAAATTCAGAGAAAGAATACATGATCAACGCAGATATCCAGGCGATGAAGTTTACATGCGAGGAAGAGTCTCAAGGCAGGATAACTTTTCCCGATGCTCTCTCAAGACGAATAGAGGTGGGTCGATAAAGAGGAATTTCTTCAGGAAAAGTACGTGGATGGGACAACACACACACATCTCAGCTTCGTCCCCCTTCAGTATAAAAGAAATTTAGTCAAAACTCTAAGTTCCGGAATAAAAGCTGTATGTTCGGAAGATACAGTTAAGAAGGAACTGGGAACTTCGTACAACACACTAATTGAAAATTACTATCCTGATAAATTCATAAAGAAACATATGATTACAAAAATGGCAAGAAAGAATGTTTTGACGGTTAACAGAAAACCGCTATATATTCATGTACAATTTAGAGGTAACCTGCTCAACGAGATTTTAGTTCACAAACTGCTCAGATCCAAAGGAGAAACGAAGAGTTGGGTATCCCAGCTGAGAGTGACATGGAGGAGATCATGTGAGAAAGAAATGAAAGCAGCTTGTGGCCAGTAGTGGAGTGAGGTTCAAAAGATCGTAGAGAACAGATGAAATGGAGGCGTGCTACTGTAGCCCTATGTTCTACTAGGAACCCAAGAGAATCAGTAATAATAATCAATAATACGCAGCCAATTGTAACCCTGAGACTGAAAGATGAATTACCTAGACTGGCCAGTTTCTGTTGTGTTTAACAGTTCAACTTCTCCTATGGAACCGCATACCTCAATCACTGTTCTAAAAAATTAATTTTCTGTGCTCACCAATACCTTCTTATGTGGTTGAGTAAAGGTGAGGTAAAGACCATAATCAATTGGATGTTGTTTTGAATCAACTCATCATAGGATACTCGGCTCAGAATCCTTCAAATTGCATAACCAATGGCAGTCAGGATCAAACAATCCGAATTGTTAGTTCATAGGTAGTACATATTACCTCTACAATTATCGTAGCCTGATTTGAGATAGAATAGTTTGTTAACATTCAGCTCCAGATAATCTAACTTCATAATGAAATAATTTTCAAAAATCGTGTTAAACCATTTTCTCCTTGTTAGTTTAACTTCATCCAGTTATCATTAACGTTTACTCACAACTTTTCTCAATCGATTTCGTCAATTGTATAATAAACTTTGTCAACAAAGTAATAAATGAAATTTTTCTATTGCTGACGCGTAATTCTTTACTATGGACATAAAACTGTAGGACCTACTGTAGAAGAAGTTATGGTAAAGAATATTCTTTGTACAGTTAAATGGCATTTATATTGCTTAGAGTTAAATACTAACTCGAAATAGAATGAAAATGAAATTGTTTTGTTTAGTTGTAATCATTAGTTTATTGTAATCAACTTCGGCACTTCAACACAATAGAATTCCACAACAAGGTATATTCATAAAAGTTGGAATTCGAATGTTATTTCACATTGAAAATTTGAATTGCTCATAACCCTGTAGTTAAAAATGTTTATTAATAGTCTTAATAGTCTTTGTTGTTTTATTATACACAAGAATTCATTTGATATCGCAGAAACATACATGCTATCATTTATATGTAAAATTTTGTATTGATAGCGTAATTAAAAGACGAAGATTGTCTGAACAATGTGAGTGAACAATACACCATTTCGAATTATCTAATACACACACACACACACACACACACACACACACACAAGTCAACATATATTAAACCGAAGAATCAGTGACAGGGTAAATACAATTGGTAAGATAAGCAGGGAATTAAAATTAACAACAAACAGGAAGAGTGTGATATAGTTGATCCTCATCTCGGTAAGAAAACAAAGTTCACTAAAGGGTAGGTGTAGTGTAGGAACAAACTGGTTTTATGTACACATAAAGGTGGTATAAACTTGTGTATGGCTATGGCTTCCGTAAATATCAATATACGTGTCTGATTGTTTCAATATACAACTTAGAAAACTGTTAATGATGGATCTTGGCTAGCAGTGGAGTCCGGGATGTGCATTCCGTCCTATTTGGGACTCGTAAGCTGGATGTACCTGCTTCCCAGTGAGTGATGTTGTTCCCACCGGGATTCGGACTAGGGAGCGATCGCTTCAAACACCAGCGCATTATCCACTACACCATTACAGGTACATTCAACTGACGAGTCCCAAATAGAACGAAGTGCGCATCCTAGCCACGATCCATCATTAACATAATTAGAACACTGGCAATGTCGAGGCATCCGCACAGCAACTCATATGCCAATAGAGACGGATCAATTCGGTCCAATCAACGATGGCATCATATAAAAACAATTATACTAAAAGTTAGAAAGCTGTTTGAACATTAATTTTGTGATCTGTGATCTTATCTGAAAGCGTCCATATCACCCTATCCACCATACAGAGGGGAGTTGAATAGTATCATTTTGATACGTAGGCTGACACCAGACATTAAGAAAACATATTATGCGGAGAATCTTATCATTGTGGAAAAGATAAAACATACATGCCTCACCATAAACATTAACACTAGACCAATGATTACTTCACATCTTATTGTATTTGTCAATTTATATATGTGTACGGTCACATATACATGAAGAGGAGTAATCGAGCCATGCAGTTGAGGGTGAGAGAACATGTACCTAAATGGTTTCAAAAACAAGTAGAGTGTGAAACCGTGAAAAACGCTGGTGGGAGACAACCCTCTTCATCTATAACTAAACATATCATAGAAACAGATCACAAAATTAATGTTCAAACAGCTTTCTAACTTTTAGTATAATTGTTTTTATATGATGCCATCGTTGATTGGACCGAATTGATCCGTCTCTATTGGCATATGAGTTGCTGTGCGGATGCCTCGACATTGCCAGTGTTCTAATTATGTTAATGATGGATCGTGGCTAGGATGCGAATCCAGGATGTGCATTTCGTTCTGTTTGGGACTTGTCAGTTGAATGTACCTGTAATGGTGTAGTGGATAATGCGCTGGTGTTTGAAGCGATCGCTCCCTAGTCCGAATCCCGGTGGGAACAACATCACTCACTGGGAAGCAGGTACATCCAGCTTACGAGTCCCAAATAGGACGGAATGCACATCCCGGACTCCACTGCTAGCCAAGATCCATCATTAACAGTTTTCTAAGTTGTATATTGAAACAATCAGACACGTATATTGATATTTACGGAAGCCATAGCCATACACAAGTTTATACCACCTTTATGTGTACATAAAACCAGTTTGTTCCTACACTACACCTACCCTTTAGTGAACTTTGTTTTCTTACCGAGATGAGGATCAACTATATCACACTCTTCCTGTTTGTTGTTAATTTTAATTCCCTGCTTATCTTACCAATTGTATTTACCCTGTCACTGATTCTTCGGTTTAATATATGTTGACTTGTGTGTGTGTGTGTGTGTGTGTGTGTGTGTGTGTGATTAGATAATTCGAAATGGTGTATTGTTCACTCACATTGTTCAGACAATCTTCGGTCTTTTAATTACGCTATCAATACAAAATTTTACATATAAATGATAGCATGTATGTTTCTGCGATATCAAATGAAT